GAGGAAGACCAGCTTGGTGAGGGTGGTGCTGGAGCCCAGGGCCCCACTGCGGACGCTGCTTAGGGCCGTCTCCATGAAGAAGAGCTGGGTGGCATTCCCTGGCAGGCCTGCAGGGATCTCCCGCATCCTCTCCTCCGAGCAGAAGACTTTGGAGGTGTCGTAGCACTGGCAGGCCGGGGGGCAGGGTGAGGGAAACCCCTCCACCAGCAGGGACCCCAGCTCCAGCAGCATGTAGACCACCAGCCTGCACTGGAGAAGGAGCCGAGCCTCATCCCCTGCCTCAGCAGGGCAGAAATCTGCACCCTCAGGTGGGTGCTGCTGGGGAAGTGGCTTTTACAGCGAGAAACACAGAGGAACAAGCCCTGGGGCACTGCCAGCATGGGCAGCTGCCCTGGCCATGGGGCATCCCTCCCCCTGTGGGCACAGGGAGCGCTTCCCTCCCAAATCTCTTCCCATCTGCCCCATGTAGTGGGTCAGGGCTCTTCCGCTGCACCCCAGCCCTGCTCCAGCCTGCCCTGTGACAATCAGGGTGGTGCCACCCTCACCGACAGCCCCCACATCCCGCAGAGCAGCGGCCGAGGTGGGAGCTGTGGGGTCCCACGGGGATCTGAGGGGAACTTGCAGCCTCACGACATGTCTCTGCGGGCACGGACCTGGGCACTGCGGCAGGGGAACGTGTGAAGCACGGGGATGTGCTGCACACACCAGTGGTGGGAACAAGGCTGCAGGGCCTCTCTGCACTCAGTGACAGAAGGAGCGGGCTCCACTGATGGTATTTTTAATTGCCCATCAAGTACTTCTCTCTCTGCAAGCAACCAGAGCAGCATCAAACATATCCAAGGGATATTCAACTTGACCAAATGTCTGTTCCCAGCCCATGGGAGGCACTTTTTGACCACCTGAGCAAAGCAGTGGCCTCTAGACCACCACCAGTTTCTCCCTACTCAGGACAGGTGCCAGTGCTGCCAGTTGATGAGGGATGCCGCCTGCCCCGCGGTGATGCCCACCTGTAACCACCCTGCAGAACTGAGGATATCCTGGACTGACTTCGGCACTCAAGCAGTGTTGGACTTGGCTTTTTCTTTCCACCATCTCATTCATTTTCATGCAGAGTCAACAGCAACTCCCATCTCTCCCAGCCCCCACCCAAGCCGTCCAAGCAATGTGGCCGCCACTTACCGAGTGTGGCATCGTGGGGGTCACCACCGAGACTCTGGCAGGTTTGCAGGAACACCGCACGCTGAGATGGGACAATGTTTTCTGGGGCGGATGGGAAGCCGGCTGACGAGCTGTTCCTGCTAGGGCGGAGCTGCCCCTCGCTGCTTATCGGCAACAACAACCCGTGTCCTTGGAGTGCTTTGAAAAATAACCCGACCCCAGAGGGACTGGAGGTGAGGCCAGAGGCAGCTTCCAGCAAGCATCCTGGCAGGGAAGTGGAGTCCCAGCCCCGGACGTCCACTGGCCCTGGGACAGTAGCACGGCACTGCTGCCACAGGTGGCACCGATCCCACCCCAAGGTCAGCACATTTCCTTGCAGCAGCCCCCCAAGAGCTCCCCTGGACTTCGTTAAATCTCAGGAATGGAGCCAGCAAATGTCCCTTGCATGAGAGGGGACCAGGTGCAGCTTAATAAGGCAAAGCCATGGGGAGAAGACCACCCTGGGATGCACCGAGTGCTTTGCAGCCTTGGGACACCCACCCAGCGAGCAGTGGGATGACCAAAGGGTCCCGTGGACCAGCTGGACTCTGAGGGAGCTTGCAGCCTGCCTAGGGATGCAGCGTACACTGCCTTAAGGGCTACCCTGCAAGGGCCTGTGTTGGAACAGGCTGAGGTGGCCACGGCCATGGAGGCAGCCCCAGGGGCAGGAGGAGGGACACTTACGTGCATTCAGCCAGACGGATGGAGCAGATGGAGCAGACGGTGACGCACAAAGAAACTCAGCTGACACAAGCCAGGGGCAGCCAGCTTTGAAGGGAGACAAGTGAGCTCCCCACCACTCTGGAGCTGGGGAAACCCTCGGGGCCTTGCCCCAGGGACAGCACTATGCAGGAGGCAGGCAGGATCTCCAGCAGAAAGCTCGCCCAGGTCCCAGCTCGCCCTCCAAAGCCATCCTGCTGCTGTTGGATGACTGACCCTTCCTGGGTCCCTCAGCCCAGGTCAGAGCTCAGGCAAGCGTGGGCTCTGTGGCACAGCCCACTAACCCTCTCCCAGCCCCACCAGCCTCTGCGGGCTTTTTCTCAACGTGAAAAAAATCTCTCAGCAGATGAAATCAAGCGCAGCTCCTGTCACTGCTGGGTCATTCCCTGGCTGCGCGCCGCGGAGGAGCAAATGAACAGCTCTTGGCACTGGAGATGGACAACCGTGCTTTAATGGAGCGGTCACAGAGCAGCACCCAACAGCCCCACGGCACAGTCCTGCGTCTCCCACCACCATGCAGGTCGCAGCCCAGAGGAGTATCCCATTGTGTGTGTGAGCATGGGGCTGCTTGTGCCAGTGCTGGCTCCTGGGGCACTGTGAGCAGCCAGCACCATGGGACACAGGCCAAGTGTGATCCTTGTCAGCGATCCCCAGGCAGCCTGGTGCCACCACACCAGGTGAGCTGGACTCTTCCGTGACCATGCCACAGCTGGAGGAGCCACAGTGGCCACTGG